CCTGTCTCTATTATTCATCTGAAATTTCCAAAACATGCTGTTATAAAATACTGAGCAGATCCAAGTACTTAGTGAAAGACTGGTTTGATCTTGAATTCGGCTGGCTTGATTACATTTTTAAAAACTTTCTGTACTTATCTATGAAATTTGACAAGAGAAAATGCATAGGATTCCCATGTATTTCTCATCTGGATCCTTATCAGAAATTTAAATCTTCCATATATCCATCAAAAGTTGTAGGAATGTCCTAGAACTTTTGGTACAGGTGTTATATTAAAATTTTAAAAAATATGACGCAGCTCACAATCTTATTCATCCAGTAATCTTGCAGATCCCTCTTGTAGTAAGGGCTGCAAATGTATCTTTAAAAGCGCTGTATTTCCAATGAGGCTGCAATTATTTTTAAAATATAAAACTATTTTGTTTTATGACAACTGCCCATTTGTCTGGCTTATTTAGAGGCTTATTCCATAGGAAAGAAAAACATAAGAGAGATGTGAGGCTTTGTTTTTGATCAGGTTTTTGTTCCACTCTGCTTTACATGGTGCATGTGTGTTCATGCATATGTATATTCATGTGTTTATATATCAAGAGTTTTTTCTTAAGAATAGCAGTTCTTCCCTTTGGAACAGAAAACAGCACATCTCCGTGGAGAAGGTACCCAGGATAAGAATGGAAACCAAGTATGTAAAAGCCAAGTTCAGGTTTTGGGAGCAAGAGCCCTTCCTGGTATATCTTGCTTTTACTGTAAAAAAAAATTAACTATTATCTTACTTTTTTTTTTAAGTAAAGGGAGAGAGTTAGCATTCATATGCCACATTAAACAACGTAGAAAGATGCACCTGCACCTGCCTCACAGTTCCCGCCTGCTTCATGAATGCATTGTGTATCTTTGCAAACTAAATATGTTTAATCAAATACTGAAGTTTTTATTCAAATTGCCAAAGAAACAGACAGCTAGTTGTTTTACAACATGATCTTCCTTGTCAGGCACCCTCTTTGCATCTCAAGAAAAGTAGCCTTGTTCAGCCTCGGGGCATTTGCATACAGAATATTAAGCCACAACAGTAGATTGTGGGTGTAGTTTTGTTATTGTAATACATCTATTTTTCTTCCCAAGTAAAGACTGTAATCTTTACCTTTGTAGAAAGTAGTTTTCTAACATTGAAAAACTTTGAAAGTCAGGCAGATAATTCCTCAGCAAGATGAGACTGTTTCAGAACAGAGTATTTAGAAGCCATACTAAGAAGCAGCAACATTTAACAAATGGAAATGCTTTGATCGGGGCTATTTCAGAGTAAAATAAAATCACTTGCAATATATGCATGGCTACTATACAGTTAATCCTCAACTCGCGACCACAACCGAGCCCAACATGTTGTTAAGTGAGAAATTATGTTAGATGAGTTTTGCCCCGTTTTATGACTTTTCTCACCACATTTGTTAAGTGTATCACTGCAGTTTTTAAATTAGTAACACGCTTGTTAAATTAATCTGGTTTCCCCATTGATTTTGCTTGTCAGAAGGTAGCAAAAGGAGACCACATGACTCCGAGACACTGCAACTGTCATAAGTGTGAGTCAGTTGTCAAGCATCCAAATGTATGTCACGTGACCATGGGGATGCTGCAAGGGTCAGAAGTGTCAGAAATGACCATAAGTCACTTTTTTCAGTGCCATTGTAACTTTGAATGGTCACTAAATGAACTGTTATAAGTCCAGGACCACCTGTACATCACCCAATGTATTTTGATTAAATCAACAGAAGCTTTTTTCCGGTATATTATTAATCCTAATCCTAAATACAAACTCAATGTCTAAAAATTTGGACATGCATTGAATCAAGCAGATAATACACATTGGAAGCACTGGTCTGCTCCTATATTCATATTTCTTTTTCTTTTTCTCTCTCTTTGTGTATATGTATATGCATGTGTATATTGTGTATGTGTGTGTGTGTGTATGTATATATATTTGACAGGTAACCTTTGAGAGGATTTTAAAGGGAAGGGATAAAAATAAAGATCTCTTCTTGTAGCAATTCTGACGAGGAAGCTTCCAGTCGGAGAAAAAAAAAATATTGCCGCATCCTACCCTCATGCTTTATCTCCAAACATCTCAAATCAGGAGGAACAATCTATCTTGTAAAGAAAAAAAAAAGAGCCACAAAGATACATATATGTATCTCCTTCTTCCTTTAATTTTTTTTTCTTTTTCCCTGTTCTTCACATCTCCCTTTCTGCTGCTGCTGCTGTTCTAAGCAGAAATACATTATGCTTTGTAAATATATAACAATCAGATCCTCGGGTTGTTTGAACACTGTTTTAGTTCAGCTGCAGTACACGGCTCCTCTGATCTTTTATGTTCCTGAGCAGATGTCTTTCATTAATTTATGGATTTATCATCTTTTCTTTTCTTTACCCCTCCCCCCCTTTTTTTACACCTGGCAGCTGGTTCAGGTTTCAGCAGTTACTGTCTTTTGCATTAGACATACAATTGAATGTCATCTGTCTTCACAAAGCTATGGCAGAGTAGTGAGGCAAGCAACATCAGCTGTTGGGGCAGAGCGTGTTTGCCTTCTCCTGGCTTTTTTGTCCTTCCTGCTTTCCTACCTCTTTTCTCTCTCCTCCCTCCCCTCCCCTTACCTCCTTAATATTTATTTGTGCTCATTTTCTTTCCTGGCCTTGAATGGAGCTTAGCTCGTGTTCGGTACAGCTGTATGTTTACTGAATCTATTCCATCATGACTCATTGTGCGTGTGTAAGTATCCTAGAAACAGGCAGTGCTTTCTTGGAAGAACGGTTGCTTTTCAGCACAAGCACTTAAAAGGAAAATTAACCAATTGGTCAACTCAGTTTTAGCAAAGGGTCATCTCACTATTGGCCTTTAAGTGTTTTGCTATCTATTTTTAATAGTTGCTATTAGTGAGGCTTTTTAACGATAATGTCATCTCTGAAACAAAGTATTTTGAAAAACAAAACAAAACAAAAAAAATCCCCGAGCAAAATAAGATTGCATTAAAAGTGCTGGGCAAGGTTTTGAAAAACCAAATAAAAATAAAATAAAATTGGAATTTGCTCATGACATATATTTTGCGGAATCTTAATAATCCCACAGCATTAAAAGAACTTAGATATGTTTATCTAAGAATATCTAGAATATTGAAATGTCTGGGTTCCGATACCCATGTGGCCAATAAAATATACAATTGATTTTGGATCAAACTATCATCCTTCTGTTTAATCTACCCTTATAGGCTGGTTTGAGGATATATGGAAAGTAACCTACAGATCAGTCTGAGTTCCTTTCAGAAGAAACAAGATACAAACAAAAATAATGACACAATAACAACAGCCGTTACTTCGCTAGGAACCTCTACTGGCAAAGATTATTGAAATGAATGAGAGCCATGTGAGAAAACATTCGTTTTCTTGTGCGCCTGTCATTTGTTAAAATGGATCTGCTTCAGAAAAATTCCCAACAAATGGTTTCTGAGGTTAATTGCCTGACAATTAACTGTTATTTAAGGGTGAGAACATACCCACGTGTATGCACGTGTGTGAATACATTTCCCTTCCCCTCAGTGCAGTTGCATAATAAAATGGATTCTATTCGAAAACTTTTTATTTGCCCATAACCCGTATTGCTATTGTAGGTGGTGACAGCTTGCCACTTTTATTTTATATGTACATTTTGAGAGATGGCAGAAAGGCATTAATGCTCCTTTAGTTTTCTCTGTCAAGCAAATGGAGGTCCTTTAAACTCTTCTTCTGGCACAAAATGTGTGTCCATCATAAGTTATCTTTTTTGCAAGTTTTGAGCATGGTCTGCAATGTGCTTATGCAAACCAGCAACCTTAAAAGGTTGGGATTTTTAAAAAAAGAGATTAATCCATTTGCCAACAGAACAAACGAATACAATTTGCATCCACTTCATGTTTCAAAAATTCTACAAACTACTGCTTTGTTTTTTTTTAAAAAAATTGATCTAAATCAACAACCTACAAACAGTACAAAGTTAATTGTGGTACACTGTAAATTGTATCAGGGAACTTGACAAATATTGGCTTTTAATATTTTTTTTCACCGTGTTGTTAGTGAAAGTGCTTCAATTTCTGGATCACTTTGAATTTGTTTGACCTTTCCCTGCCTTGCAGTGTGCTATTTAATAAATGACATATTTATATGTGCATACTGACTGTCTTTAAGGGAGACAGTCTTCCAAGAAGCTACTGAAGCTATCTTAATTGACCTTGTGGGGCCACGTTGACTTTTGTCATGTGCTTCTTCATTTCTGATACATTATAAAGCCATTAATTTACAGAGGAAATGGCAGGGCCAGCCTGCTTCACAGATGTGACCAAAACTGCCCTAGCACAGAGTACACAAAAGAGTGCCAAGAAGCAGTAAGGGGGGTGGGGAGGGAGGAGCACCAAAATGCCTGGATTGTTATAGTTAGTTCCATATTCTGCTAGGAACTCTTTTGATTGTTCAGTTTGTAGACCTGAAAGGTAACAATGTGCAGAAAACAGATGACCCCATATACTTTGGTGTATTGCTAGAAGAAAGTTTCTGTTGGTATTTTCTGCATAACATTCCTGGGAACAATGTGATGCGTAAGGAAAAGGAAAGTGTGTAAGGAAAGAGGAATTTTTACATGCACATATTTGTATATTTGTTTTCCTAGCAACAAATGAACATACATGTTTGCAAATTTTACAATTGAGATATTTCTTCCACCAATTCTTCTTCCCAACAAGGAGAAATCTTATCCATATTTTACTATGTTGAATAGGAACTATGCTTAAGGAATTGTGCCACTTGAGATCTCTAAGTTATACCGTAGGCTCAGATTCATAATTTTCCCCTTCTTAAGTAATTGCATATTATGCTAACTGAATACTAATTTAGTAGAAATACAATTATTCCAAGAGAACTTTGTTAGCCCTTAATATTGAGAGCTGTCATTCAAACCAAATATTTTTCCTTAACTCATTTTGTCCTACATGCAGGAAGGTTTGTCACCAAACCACTTAAAAAAGGCCAAGCTTATGTTCTTTTATACTCGGTACCCAAGTTCCAATATGCTGAAAACCTACTTCTCAGATGTAAAGGTAGGAAATGCCAATTTAATGTTTATTTTCTTCCTATTGATTGCATGCTTGAATTTCTTGAATGCCTATTAATTTTCATTTAATTCTGCTAATAAAATATGCTGACAAAGTTTTATAAACTCCCTTCCTTCCTTCCTTCCTTCCTTCCTTCCTTCCTTCCTTCCTTCCTTCCTTCCTTCAATTTATGTATGTATTTATGAATTGTACTTTCTAATGTTTCTCTCTGCCCTCAAATATGACATGGATATTAGAAAAAAGAAATAAAATGCTGAAAATTTCTACTAGTGGCATTAGCTTACTATTTAAGGGCATTTTGGAGAACAGATTTAAAATTCTCCTTTAATTTTTCCATTGCAGGCATGTTTCTAATATGCTGCTTATATTAGTGCCCACTCTGGAGATCCCTTTTTCTTCCATCAAAAAGGAATGCAACATTGAAATTCTCCATGCAGTAGCTGCTTAAAAACAAAAGTGATGATTGTCTCTTATTTACAACTTAATTTGTTGTTGATGCAGAGTACACTGAACATAAGGAGGATGAATAAACTGACAGATTCAGGCCACATTATTCAAATGAGAATATGAAAGCTGTCGACATACAGCTGCATCCTCCCCTCATTCTAAGAATATTAGGACCTCCTGATATTTTTTTTCCTAAAGTAATTGTTTCTTCACATCAACTTGATTTTTTTTGTGTTAATCATCTTTAAAAAAAAAACAAAAACTAGTTTGGGTTCCAATTATTATAATGACATACATGGAATAATTTTGAAAACCTTTAAAAATAAACATCATATTAGTTTAAATTTGCCGTATTCAAATTCTTCTTGTCCTGTCCCTTTCTCTGCAAAATGCTCTGCATGTTTAACTCTATTCCCACCTCCAGACGCTAGCAAATCTGGATTTGTAAGAATGGCCTGCTTCTATAATAGAGCAGGTTTACGGTTTTCTCCTTATGTGCCCTTCTAAAATAAAACAGGTATTTTAAGTAGGGGTTTTCCTTCTTTTTATTAGCCCTCATATTTTATTAATTGGTTTAATAAACTAAACTTCAAAACTGTATTTAATGTAACTAAAATTGTGTTTAATTTAACCATTGCTGTCCTAGTCTTGTTAATATCATTCTTTGTGCTAGATTAATATATGGTTTTTTGTTTGTTTGTTTGCATGGTACATAGAGTTAACCTATTCTGTCCAATGAGAAATTCTGGAGAAACTGATTTAGCCGGCTGTGATAATACTTTGAAAAGCTGTTTGATTAGAAAGTGAACCAGTGAAGGTGTATAGGATGAATGTGTCTAGGATGGTCAGTGACCACTCCACATTGGCCATTCAGGCCTCTTAAAAATGTTTTGTCCTATATACTTAACCCAAACCTGATGATTGTCTCTGAACTTTGTGCAACGAACTGAAGAAAAACAATGCTTCTGTGGAAGTATTATCTGCAATGTAACAATGCAAAGGATCTCTGTGGAGATTTCAAGCCATCGCTATAGCTTGATCTCAGTATGGCTTGAGAGAACCTCATGAGGACTCTCTTAAATGTTCTGTTTTGTAGTGGATGCTAATTCAAGCAGTTGCACAGAAGCATTTCACTAGTATTTGGTGCCTGTTGTTTTTTTCAGCATGTGACAACCGAACTCAGTCTTCTTACAATGTTGCCAAGTTTATATGAAACATTTTGATGTTATGCCACCTTATATTTATATAGCATCATTCATCCAGAAGAAGCCCAAAGTGCTTTACAAACAGCCAATATAGGGATCATTCACCCACCACAGAAAGGCAACCGCTTCCGTGGTGGAAGGCAACAGCCATTCGGGGTCAGCAACATCACACACCAGTAGATGTAAATATTAGATCCATTCCTCTTTTCTTGGGGAGTGGGGTTGGAGGGTGGGTTTCCACGTTGATACATTTGGGATGTTTATTTTATGTAACAGTTCTTGAGTGAAATCAGCTTCTCTTTTGATTTGCTCTGCAGATTTGTTCAGACTGACCTTGGGTTTAGCTCCTGGTTCATATAGGCAATCTACAGAGTAGAATCTTGTGTAATTGTGCCCATCATTTCCTTTTTTTTTTCTCTGTCTCAATCTCTCGTCTGTGTGAATGTTTCTGTGTTTAGATAGAAAGATAGATGTTTTTTTAAAAAAATAACAAGCTGTCGAGGTAGGAAATTATCTCAAATATGACAGCAATCTTTGCATTCTCAAATTAAAGAAGAAGTGAGAAATTTAGTAGCCTAATGGAATATGTAGTACAATAATCATGAATACTACAAATGGGGTGAAAAATACAAGAAGTGATTTTTGTTGGTTTTGCTAGATCTTCTTAGGAATTATTCTAGATTATTTACTTCCATGTATAAATCAATAAATTCAGCCATAACTGCCCAAGCTAGCTAGGACATATGGGAGCTGGTATCCAACAAAATCTGAAGAGCCACAGGTTCTATCTTTATAATGAAATACTGAATCATGTTCATTTCAAAGCTCTATTAACCGAGATTCAAATGAAAGTTCCATAGACTCAATAGACAGAGCTTAGAATGAGCAGAATCTGTGCAATGCTGAAAGATTGGCATTGCTTTTGAATAGGCTTTTCTATGTGTAAGAGAGCAAAAAAGTCATGTGATCTAAAAAATAGTTTGGGGGCCCATGATGAGTTTCTTTTCATGTTGTTTTGTTTGAAAGTAAAATGCTATGATGCCATTCATATGCCATGGTCTATACATGGTCTTAATGCAGTATTGTGCATTCACTACAGACAATTCCTGTTGAACCCAAAATGGATACCATGCCCCAATAACTTTAATATCAGCTCATTAGCCAAACCATATGAAACAATGTTAATTTAAAAAGTAATGGAAAATTGACAGTACAAAACAGTATAATTTATTACTTATGTCTAATGGCAAGGAAATAAATCATAATTTCCACACAAAGTGTTTGGGAGATAATTATTTACGGTAGCATATGTTACTTCTCTACAATCTAATAATTCCAAGTGTGATCCTGGAAATGTTTAATCTTAACACATCTGGAAGACACCATATTGAGAAATTTATATGATGCACTAATCATTATTTCAGCAAACTATCCCTAACTGATCTAGGGTATATAATGTGGTTGTGAGCATTCCCTTCATGCAAGAATAACTAAGTAAAAGACATAAGATCACATTTTGTTAATCTTCTATAGTAAAATGTTCTGTAGTAAGATTTTTCAACTGAGTTTTACAACTACTGAATTCCTTACTAGTACAGCAATATAAATATAAATAAATTGTCAGATACACGGGTAGTTTGTTGTGAGAGCAGAAGCTCAGTATAAATTTAACTATCAATTTAAGTATCACATGTAAAGGAAAAAAGGATAAAAATTAGGTTGAACTAGAGAAGTCCCTTTAACCATATAAGGTCTGGTCTTACTATTAGTCAGAATTAGGTAACCATTTTGAGGAGATAATCTTATTTACTTAGTTATTTTGAAACGACATAAAATTGTTAGGCATTTAATTTATTATTTATTATTACATTTTTATATTTAGAAAGGAGAATAAATGCCTACGGCAAAAAATTAGCTTTCTGTTGTATACATCTTGTGTTGATGATAGAGTGTCATTTGCTTCTCTGCCTCAGGCATCAGCATATCTTGGGCTATGAAAATCAAGTTTTTATGGTAGAGAAAAATATTTGTCTTCAATGTGGTGCAATTATTGGGATCACTTTAAAAGTTAATAGGAAGGAATTTAAAAATTGCTAACAATATATTGCAGCAGAACTCGAAAATGTTTTATCATCAATTGTGACTATAAAAACTAGAAGTTGGGGTGTTGGATGGATGCGTTGGTTGGTTTTTTGCAATTCATGGGTAGAGTTCCAGGAAGTCATAGACTGGCTTTCCATATGTAGGAACTCGCCATCAAACATTGCTTTCAAAACCCATTAAAAATTCATTCCAAAAAATCAGAGAATCTTTCAGGTCATTTCTCATACAACATGAGCTTGAGTTGGAACCAAATGCTTGGAAAATATACAAGGGCTCTTTGGATCACAGCCCACACACTGCAATTTATCCTAATATGTTGCACAATAAATGTACAAAGTCCTGTTCAAAGCCATGTGCTGGCCTATGCAGGTCCTATATTTAAAGCAACTTAGTTTAAATCAAAGATAATTTAACAAACTTTATGAAATAATGGAGATTTTCCATAAAAATAGACCCAACGCATTTATTTGAAAATAAATTCAAATTGTTTCAGGGGATCAATTGTGCTTAGAATTCTGAGAAATGTTCTTTGAGTCATAATGCACATATGCACTGTGACTTTTCCCCCTTATTTTAGATAAAGAGCTAAACTAAATAGAGCCGAATAAGATGCAACCACCATTTTTAACTTGAGGTGAACATGTTCTTCTTAATTGGTATTATAAAAAGAAATACCAGCTGTATCCAGTTCTTTCGCTCCACTTGGTGCCGATTTTAATGTGTAAACTAATAATTCTTAGACTGCTAAATACAACAGATTCAGTGTCATTTTAGCTTTGAAGAACGGGAGCTTCCAGGCTTTTCAACTCAGCGTGTTAAATGATGTATCTCATTCCTTCCACCCCTTGAGTCAACTGCTGCCTAGCCAGCTTAAGGTGTCAGATTGATTTGTTTTATACATCTTTTGACCATGCTCATTGAATATTTAGGAAGTTTCTTCAGCCCATATTGAGGCTGAGGTATCCCGTGGGAAGCATTAATCAAAGTCACAGAGACTCTTACACTGTGGAAGCACAGACTCTTTATTGTAGCGATTAGTTTTTGCAGTAACACATTAACGCACTACAGAGCTTTTCTTTTATAGAACAATTGATCCCTTTCTTGTACTCCGCTGCAGAAAGGGGGGGTGTCATGAAATAATTAACTCTTTAAAGTTTGGCAATTTAAAGAAGCCTAATGTATCTTTACTAAAATGTTGAGGCAAGGGCAGAGGTGTATGTGCGTGCATGTTTGTCCATGTATGTATGTGTCTGTCTATCTTCCACATGCATTTGTGTTAACTTATCCTTCAAATGTTTTTATATTATTATCTTTGTTTCTTTAGTGGTTATGTATGTAATTGCTCCATGTGTTATATTTCTATTGTCGTTAGTTCTTCCCCCTCCCCATTTTCATGTCTCAACAATAAATATTAAATCTTCCTTTGTATCCTGTTGCTAAATAATGATATGTGTGCACCTACTTTTTTTGTTGTTTTTGCTATCCACATTCACGACCATTCTAGGGTGGGGTGGGGGGAGTCCTCTTTCTATTTTTCCTCTCTCCAGAACTCTTGTCCATATGAGACAATGTCTTGTAACAATGCAAGAGTCTAATCTCCATGTCAAAGCAATTTTCATTCCCCAGTGCACACCCTGCTATCATTTTGTAATGTTTTGTTTCTTATTCTAAAAGAATTAAAAAGGAACAGTAAGCTGTCACAGGGGCCTGTAGTCCTTATCTCAGTGTCTGGAAATTTGGACAGTGTATTTTACTACTGAGATAAAATGGAAAGAACTCCAAGTTCAGCAAATCGTAATGGGTTTAAGTTCTATTGAAATCGGTAACCAGAAGATCAGATAACAGGGGTCCTTCAGTTGTCTTTTTAATCAGGTTCCCCGCAAGGGCTGAATAGAGACAGAGCAGACACACAGTGAAAATATAATTCTTGGATAGGTTAAGTACATGTTTGAACTCTTGCAAGCAGAAGCGATTTGATGATGACTTAATCATTTTCTGGTCAATTATCTGTAAGGACCCTTGCAACTGCATGGCAATTATGATGCAAGTTGGCCTTTTGGGAGAAACACCAGTCTCCCTGCTTCTGTTTCCTTGTTGCTTAGATTCTCTGCCATAAATTTTCATTCGTTTATTATCTTTGCTAGCATGGAAACAACTTTCTGTGTAGTAATTACAGCCCCAATGCACACTTTAGCTGTCATCTTGTTGGAGGCCTGGATGTCCTCATGGCCAGCATTTGATAAGTGTTCTTTGTTGATTTTTGATTAATGCACATCTCTTTCTGGGGGCCAGGGGAAGTGAATGCCTGTGATGACAAAAGGCAGGGGATAGTATATCAGCTTGCCTGATATATAGCTATGGATTTATTGGCTTTAACTTGGCAAGTTGAGTTGCATCTGTCCTTTACACATAGAAGAGGCTGTCAATAAGAGGGTATCAGCTGCAGCATAGCCTAAATGACATCTTCAGTTCAAAGGTCATAGGAAATAGTAAGAAAACTCATCCTGAAAGATACCAACATTTTTCATGTTAGCTTTATTCCCTATGAGTTAAGGTGATGCATTACTGAGCTAACAAAATTTAAATTTTATATGCAGAAGGACAAAATTTGATATGTTCCCACATTATTCTAATCAGAAAAGTATGTTCTCTGATCTGCCTTACATTTGCATCATTTAACTTTCAAAATCAAAATCTATAATATTATACAATGTTCAACTCTTATTAATTGGGGAACCATAAAAAATGACATAATAGGCAGCTCATATTTTTTCCTTTACCCTATACATCATTCCATAAATGTCCTCAGTAGGATCTTGTATTAATTTACTATTGATAGTGATGCTTTGGCTATTGTACAAAGCTTGAAAATCCAAGGCACCTGCTAGGTTAAGTGCCAGAATCTTGATAGTGGTGCCTAGAAATCTTGAAATATTTTCCATGCCTGATGCTGTGTCTAGTAGAACAGTAGTGCATTGGATAGCAACTTCAGGAATGATACTCAAAGAGTATTTTGCTATTTAAAAGTTTGGTGCAATATTTTTATATCATCTGACTCAACCTCTTGTATCTCCTTATCCCTCAGGTTTAAAAGCTTTTGAAGATGAGCTTTGTGAGGGTAGGGAAGAGGAAGGGATGTAAGAATGCTGTGGGGAGGAAAAGGAGGAAATGTCAATGATCTAATCCTTTGTACTCTTTACACTTTAACAGTTCAACAGATGTATTACTTCTCAGCTCATCAAGTGGTTTAGCAATTTTCGTGAGTTCTACTACATTCAGATGGAGAAGTATGCACGTCAAGCCATCAATGATGGTGTAACAAGCACTGAAGAGCTGTCTATAACCAGAGACTGTGAGCTGTACAGAGCCCTCAACATGCACTACAATAAAGCAAATGACTTTGAGGTACGCACTGATCTTTCTATTCCCTCTTCCCCTGGGTTTACGGATAATTGGGGTGGGGAAACAACTACAGGATTTCATAGTATTTTCATTTATCTCTTCATTGGATATAGCTCATCTTGGGTAATGATGAAATGGGTCCATAAAGACAAATCTAATTAGCCAGAATATGGGAAAGTTCTCTTTTGTAAAAGGCACAGTTTTTGTGATTTCACTTCCTTCTTCCTTTCCAACATTTTCTATTTGAATGCCAGATAAGCGTGGTTATATTATTATCTAAAAGGCCAGTCTTCATGAGCTTTTCTTGGAAATGAATATTTTGAGTGGGGAAAATGCAACTCATTTGCAAAATAAATAAAGAAACACAAGGCAGAAAAGGTTGGTTGTCCTTCAGTTCCATCAAAATCGTTGGAGAATTCTATTGAAATTTCTGGAATACATTCTGCTGCTTGATGACTTTCAATGTAAAAGTTCCTTATAAGCTAATCATCAGCTAGCATGAGTTAGCCACTGAGGGAACAGCTCAGCAGGTTTTGTTGTTAATGTGCTGACCTATAGTAGCAAATTCCTCAGTGCTGACAGTGCCATTTTGCTACATCCAGATAGATTCATGCAGAGATAAGGCAAGAGGAGTGTTCTGGGAGTTGTAAGGGTATGGCCCTGAGGTCTTCTGGCAGTATATTAACATGAACTAATCAAACATGTTAAATATTGTATTTATTGTACAATATTGTAAACATGTACAATGCTATATTGGAATTTAAGCTTCGCAATAGGGTAGTCAGAAGGTGATATTGATTCTGTTCTGTTCCTAATGCAAATAGGGTATTTGTTAGGCATTAAACTTTCTCTGAAACTTTTCTCTTTCAAATTGGTGGCCATCATCAACATATCTGAAATTTTCTATGTATGTTGTTATGCTTATATGTAATTATTTTTGCTACCGAGATTTAAATTGCTAAGATTGAAATGGATAACTTTGCAAGCCCAAATCAAAACTTTGTTTTAAGAGCAGCCGATACATTTCATATTTTCTACCCATGTGGTTTCCTTGATAAAAATATAGGATTAATTGATGTCCATGCCATTGTCACTAAAGTGATCACCTGATTCCAGGGTCTTTCTATATTGCTGCATTTCAATATAGGTGCCTGGATCAACAACAACTTGATGACACTTGATCAATGATTATTTTCATAAAGAAAAAAGGATAAAGCTATTAATTAAAAAGAAAAGGATAGAGGAAGTTATAGTGCAAATTTCATTTGCAATTTTACTAATTTAAAATGGTCTCAGTGCATGTAGCATTTAAGGTAGCACAGTGCAATGTAGTCAATCACATACAATTGAATTTGAATGATATTTATACATAAATTTCTCCTACTTTATGATCTTACAATTATCAACTGGGCTTCTCTTGAGGATCAAACCTGAAAAGTGAAATCAAAATGTGTTCTTTGTTTTTCAAGAGAGCATACTTGTAATTTTTAATAATAATGTAAACTTTGGATGAATGACTTTTGTTTCACAACTTGCAGGACCATCTACTGCTCTATGTTCTTAACTTTTCAACAGGATATTTTTTTATACCAATACCTAGCATAAATAGCTAATGTTGCTTCCTCATGGCACAGCCTAAACCAAAAATGCTGAAGTTACATCAATATAAAGGTCACGCAAAGTAAGTAGGTCCTTCAGGACCTATTATGGGGGGGGGCCAGTTAAAGTATAAATAGCCTTTAATCCACAAAACTCAGAACCATTCAAATAATTTATTCCTACCCGCTTAAGGGAGCTCTGAAAACGCTAATGGAGGCAGCACTTTGTTCCAGTCACATTTTTTGTCTCAGTGATCTAGACCATGGAACTTTCCACTGAAGATATGACTGACCACTTTGTCTCATAGTTTTTTCAGAGAGTTTTTTACCCAAGATTCCCTGATTCTAATTTTTATATTGCTTGCTTTGCAGTAGATAGGTCCCAAAGTAGAAGTTGTTGACCAATTATTATGATCTTATATGACTACAAACTATTATGAGAAAAGGCCAAAATCAAAAGTAAGACCACTCCCTTTTTTTCTTTCCCTTCCCTTCCCTTCCCCTTCCCTTCCCTCCCCTCCTATCCCCTCCTATCCCATCCCATCCCATCAAATAGGAAAAGGACAGCTCAGAGTATAACAATGATACCATTTTAAGATCAAATACATTTCCTCAGGAGATAGAGTATAGCCGGCTATAGCTGTGTCCACAGAATACCAAACACTTTTTAAAAAGAAACAGCTATGACTTCTTTTTTAATAACTAAATGAATACTAACTAGTTTTCATCTGTTGAAACAGAGTTTTACTTGGCTACGGAGTTTAATCACATTTGCATTATAAAAGTATAGCTAGCAGGTATACTCAGCTTCCACCTGTTCATAGAACACTATTCCATAGAATATAGTTGAAAAAATAATGTTCTTCATGTGTTTACAAGTCTCCTGTTTTCCACCTACCTTACTTATCTTTTTAATCCTGATCTGATATTCGACTTGCAACTGGGTTTTCTGCAAGGAGAAGCAATCATAGAGTTTTTCAGTGCAAATCCAGTGTGTGTCATACTATAGGTTTTGTATAAGGCAGATGTTGTTGCTGGACACTGCAATAATCAAAAGCTTTAATAAAGATGACATTTTTCTGAAGGAATTTGTGACCAATGCTAGCATATCTAGGCTGAAAAAAAATCTGGATGACCACCTACTTCCTTGTTGTTATTTATTGGTTGTTCAGAATTCTGCAGTTAAAATATAATAGTTCTGATGAGAATGGAGCTACAATATTCATGAGTCAGAAAATATAGAGAGAAGAACTGGGAGGAGAATGTTGATGTTAGATTTCCTTCCTGTAACCTCACTTATATCAAAGTAACTAGATAGAAGAGGACACTTTCTATGTATACAAAATGCATGTGTGCATAATTTATGCCCATGTGCATACAGATGACTTTGTGGGGGATGACCCACTACCCATTATGTGCAACCTTCAGAGATGAAACAATTGTGGAAAATAAAAGCTGTATTCATTACTTGGCAGGATTTATTCTAAAAATAACTCTTTCGTGTGAAAATGATACAAGATTATGTTTAACTAAATACTGAAATGCCATTTTTTTTTGTCTTTGACCTACTCATATAATATATCCTTTGCTTCAGTTTCAGGCAAAGAAATTTTAATTTCTTTTTTTTTAATAAAGCAAATCCTAGACTGTAATATAGAATTCACTATATTAAATACTATTTATTCTCTTTTTATATATGCTACCTGCCTTAAACTATCATAAGGTAGCATGCATTTTTCTTCCTCCTCCCTTATTTTATTCTTATGATCCTGTGAAGTAGATTAGAAACAAGGATGACTTCAAGTCATCCAGAGAATTTCATGAATGAGAGATTTGAACTTTGTCCCATGAAGATATAGTTCCAGTAACCCATAATGCAAGTATTTTTACTGGAACTTAAATGCTTAAATACATGACACAGATTTGCCATTACTATTTTCAAATATGCAGTTCTTTTACATGGCAATTTGCTTTTTAAAAAAGGATACCTGCAATTGTCCTAAAGAGACTGTTAATGCATATCACTGAATCTGGAAGTATGCATTCTTGCCACATCGGCAGAAATTGGATCTGAATACTCTGAGCAAAGGGAGCATTTTCTATATTTAGCATCATCAAAGTTTCTCCCCCTTATTCTTTTATTGCTAATCTTTTAACACAATTGAGGCCTGATATGCATTCCATTTTAAATAGCATAAATGCTTTTTACTTCTTCTTCTATTGCCAAATTAACATTCATAATATATATCTTAATGCAATATTAAAGAAATAAGGATATAAGTAAGTAGGTGTGTATCTCAGAATCACAAAAATCTTTCATAAAGTCAGGTCTTGGGCATCTGTAAGGAGCCACAATATGTGTCATGAATGACATGGATTACATAATTCACATGAGAGGAGTGATGCAGATTTGTGTTGATTGCATGATACTATGACATACAAAAGCTTTCTTACTGCAAATATCAATAACTTAAGTAAGTTACTGTATTAACAAGTCAAATGCTTCATTTCTTTCTTTTCCCTTTTGACTTTATCAGAAGAGACTCAGTCTTATAGTTGCAAGAAGATAAGGACATAGTAGCTTTAATAAGTCACCTTTGTGACTGCTCATTATAGTTAAGTGAGGCATTTGCAAAACTACAAAATAACGGAAACTCCATGAAATTTAAGGAAACATTTTCCTCCTTTCTGACTCAAATTTGGTAACTGAGTTTCTGTGTTTGAGAAGAACTATGGTACATTTTTGTCCACCATAGGGAATTGCTTATCAAAAATAATAAAGCTTCTGTGATCTCTAGGCCAATTCATATATGTTATATCATAGATAGAATACAAATATCGAAACATACAGCATCTTTGAACTACACAACAACAGAGATTTATTACTCAATCACAAGTGTGACTCTAGGCAGCTTGCATGGTATAAATAAAATTATTAAAAATGTATACCAAGGTGTCATAATTTTCACAATTGTGAAGGTAATGAAGTTTCCTTTACAAAGTCAGTTCTTGTTGATCCAGTGACTTGTTTGTGCTTTTCATAATCAGTTGAGAGGTTTTCCCCACTCCTGCCTTCTAATCTGTTTAACAATTGGAGATGCTACAGACAGAATCTAACTTCATACATAGAAGTGCTTACTCAGTCTATGGCTCCAGAGGTACTGGCAGCTTCTGGAAGCTTTGCATACAGCCTCCAGTCCTCCTGCCAAAAACAAGATAGTTAATAGTACTAATATATTTTATTTAAATTAAATCAAATGTAACTTTTGTGTGCCCCTGCCCATTTCTTTTCCCACCCACTTGTTAAGCACAAAAACAATAATGCTATTACTTTAACACTTTTAAAATATGCAGAGTTTATTACAGCAATATAGTAACATAAGTAATATATATTGTATATATACT